TCTACGTGAGTGGCACGGAGGGTGGGAGGAGTGATGTGGAAGTGGATGGCACAGTTTGATTATTCAGAAGTGTCGTTTCCCTTTGGGCTTCTATAATTGCCTTTCGTTATGCTCATATTTAAAATTATTCTAAATACTTCTTGGAGATTTATATTCCTATACTTAATGAATTTCTATTCACATTTCTTTTTGTCTTGGAAATTTCCCAGACTGCTTCTCTAATTGACCACCAGTTAAAAAGTTCCTTTGGATAGATCATGTTTCAGGATAACAGACGTAAACCCATTTTAGGGAAAACATTTTTAAAGAACATATTAATTTTATTTTGTTTTCATTAATTTCATTTAGTTTTATTTTGAAATTTGTGCATAAGAAAAATCAAAATTTCGGCCATTCTCAGTGGCTACTACCAATTCTTTAGAGAAATCTCTTCTATTGGAAAAAGATCTTTACTAGAACAACTGTTAAAATAAAAAAACCTTAACAGAACTCTGTCATCTTAACTATATTCTTTAATAGATTATTAAACACATTGCTTGTGAACATTTAAGGAAACCGACTAATTTTATTTCCTTTTTTGGAAATTTTAACCATACTCAAAAAGTGGTAACTAATTGACCTATGTCCCCTTGGAAAGAGTTCCTTGTGTTGTGCAGCTGTGTTGGGCCTCGGGCTGCCACATTTAACAGTTTTACTGATGAAGCAGGTGAAACTAGGGAAAGCATGCTTCTCAGGTGTTCTGATGACAGCAGGAAAGGTTAAGGGATAATTAGACGATGGCTTCAGAATTCAGAAAACTCTTAGTAGATTGGAGCCATGGGCTAAATCTAACAAGATGAAATTTTACCGGGATATTTAAGATTCTATATTTGACCAGAATACCAACTGAATAAGCACTGGCCAAGATTTAACAAAGGTTACTGAAATCACAAACTGATATAAACTGAAAAACATGTAAGCCTTCACCACTTAGAATCTAAGAACAGATACATCTCCATCTGTTAATGGCATAATAACTGTAATGCTCTTGGAGTCAGAGTTCTGCTGCTTCTGATGATCTGATGGTTAGGTAAAGAGGAGAAATAAAGCGTTCAATATATAAGATTTTAAAAGAAGTCAAATGAGTGGGTTAAGTAAAACAAGCTGGCCAAGGTAAACTAGTTATCTAGAAACAGCACCTGTACCCTATCCTTCAGTTCTCAAGGGAGTCATTAATAAGGAATCTTCCTTCAGTCTCTTGGATTCTGAAGGTTTATATATTTTAGTTACTTTTTATTTAATCGCGTGTCTCTGCTTTAAAGATGGGAGACCTCTGTTGCTGAAGATTGACTGCTTTTCCCCAAGATTTACCTGTGATTCCTGTGAAACCAGTGAAGCGATGCCTAGGGAATGGGAGCTTGTCTTCTGCAGTCTAACCCCTGTGTGAACTTTTTTGCTGCCAGTTTTTTTGTTTGTTTTGCTATTTTGAACTGTTTAATTCTCTAGTGTTCATATTAGGTTCTAGTTTTTTTGGTTTTGGTTTGGGTTTTGCAAAATAAGGACTACAGCAGTGTACTTTTTATACCCAGTGTTTTTCTTTAATTTAAAATGTTTTCTTAATGAATTCTTTTATTTGAGATTATTGGTTTGTATCAACTTGGACTCTCTTAGTTGCAGGATAGAATCTGAACTCACATTAGCCTAAAGCACCAAAGCTCGAGTGACTGAAAAGCCCTAAGGAAAGAAATAGCTAAAGGCTTGTCCTTCAAGTGATCCTGTCAGGATGCTGTTTCTCTTTATCATTCCACACTGCATTCTGTTCCATTTCCCTTTTCAAACTTTCTCAATTCCTCAGCTCTTTAGCCATTGGCAACATTTTCGCAGAAAGACTCACTTTTCCCAGCATCCATATCACTTTCTGGGAAAGCGTTCTGGTTACCCCTGTTTGGGTTATATGTTCACCAATCACTTGGAGTCAGGAACAGTTTCCAGAAGGAAGGGACGGGAGCAGACAAAATAACGCATGATTAAACATGGAGCAAAAAGAATGAATATTTTTATGCTTTTCTCTTGTCTTCCAAAAGGAAATGTATGGGTGGTGGATTATGCACGTATCAGCCAGATGTGTGGTAGCACACTTGGTGTTCCAGTGCCTGAGATGTTGACTTTGAGGTCTTTGAATCTGATAATGTTTATTTACTATATGTGGATAATCGAACTTATGTGTAAGATTGCTGTCTACTAGCCATTCACCTTATAGGTAGTACTTTTTGAAATTGCTATTGAAAAGATGAAATATGGTCGGTCAAAAAACACTGCATACTGTACACTGTCCACAGTATGAATTCAACATATAGTGTGACATTATCTACTTATCAGGAACTCTGTGGACATTTAGCTTTTGAAAATTTTGGAGTCATTTCCTAAAAGTAGAGTTCACATTGGAAAAGCAGTGTAGAAAATGGACCTTTTCTTTCCAAGGCCACCTCAAAAATGGACAGATTGGCAGTTGGGTTGGACATCAGCAGCTGTATGTCTGGATATGTCTGTGGTGAGAAGAGGAGAGAGCGTGATAAGGGAAGAAGGTGAGCGGCCAGGCGGAAGCCAGGTGCAGGGATGCGGGGAGAAAAGGAGTAGGTCACGGGAGAGTGTTCGATGCTGCAGGTTGCCAGTCTTAGCTAAGCTTTGTAGGAATAATTGTGTCTCTAAGGGGAATGGTCATTTTTCTGTTGACGCAGGATGCTCATTTGGAAATGTGCTTTTTAAATCTTTTTATTCTCCAAATTTAAACTCATTTCTAATGTTTAGGAAGCATTTCTAGGTGAAAAGAAAAATCTTAGATCAATGTTTTAAATAAACCTACCATGTTTCTATACATTTTTTTGGTGGGTAAGTGTTTAGTAACATTTAAATGTGTAAGAGAGTTTTACCAAGTTGTAAATTTGGTAAACAAGAGGCTTGGTATTCTGTATTTGGGGATTAGTTGGATTTAGCTGGATTAAAACAAAAATGTTAACCAGGATTCTTAAGAAACCATAAAAAAACATCCGGCTCTTGTCAGCACGCCAGGCCCCTGCCCAGGAAGCTTGCTGTCCTGTGGGGCGTCTGGCCCTGTGGGACCCTCCTCACAGCCGAGGCCTTCCTCGCCCTCCTCAGCCCTTATCTCACACCTGGCCTCACTGCACAGGGGTTGAGGCTGGCGTGACATGTTTTTTAAAAAAATTCTCCACAGCGTGACAAGCAGAATTCTGTTGACTTTTGCAGCTGTATGAGAAAACCGCCTCAGCAGTTCTGTCCTTTGTGATGGCCTGAGGAGAACTATAATGCGCAGTTCTCTGCCTGCAGTCTGTTCTTTCCTCCCAGTGTCCGGCGTACAGACAGAAGCGAGGGATCTGATGCAGGTTTTTTTTGATTGACAGACTGTGCACCACCATTTGTTTCTTTCCAACATTTCATTATGAAATATCTCAAACGTGTAGGAAAGTTAAAATCATTTTCCACCGCACCCCATAAATCCACCATCTAGAGTCTGACATTTTACCGTGCCTGCTTTCTCACATATTCATCCTCGAGTCCATCTTATTATTTTTGACGTATTTCAAAATAAGTTAGTGCCGGGTTTTCTTTCCTAATCTTTTATTACTGGCTGTGAATCCGTAATCCTTGGTATAAAGATTTCAGACATTAAGCGAGTGCGGAGGAGGAGCATGGGCGAGCAAAAGGGCCTTCCTCGGTTCTTGCTTCTGATGGGCGTTCAGTAAATATTTGCAAAGTGAGTACAGTTCCATGAGTCCTATTTGACTAGCCCTGTGGGTAAACTTCAGTTTTTCCTCTTAGGACAATTACTTTTAAAATAAACCATATGTTTTCTAGGTATGTGTGAGCCCCAGTTTATAAGATATTTATTATATATCATAAAAGTGTATGTAAAATATATTTTTTACAACCATGATTCTCTCTCTTGGAATACTTACACGTGTGGCAATATTCCAAGGCATCCACATTTCTGGGTTGGTGCCTCAAGGACCCTCTTGAGGAAGAGGTTGAAAGAACAGCCCCACCTCACATCAACCAAGCTGCTTCTCTTATTCTGTTTTCTATGAAGTTAAGATTTCTTTGCAGGGAAGAGTTTGAAAACTACAGCTGTTCAGGTTCTTGGCCAGTACACACAGGTCAATAAAATCATTGCGTAGTGGGAGGTATTGGAGCAGAAGAGAGTAAATACATCTTGCTACCCAAATCCTAAATTTCTGACTTTACTTCCCCGGGGGTACTGCATTATCAGAGTTCATCCCAGTGGCTCTAGATAAAGAATAGTGAGAGTTTTAACTGCATTGAGACTAATCTAAAGATGTGTGACTTTTGTATGTGCGTCCATATTTGCATGTCTGTGTTCCCAGAATGAGCAATATCTGTATTTTCACTTGTTACCTCCTGAGAGGAGGGGCACACTGTTTTTGCCCCGACCAAGGGGGTGTAATTTGAGTACTTTGGGGAGCTAATCCTCAGTGCAGTGTGGGCAGCTACCAGAAACTTCCCCTGTTCCCAAAGCAGAACAGGGGCTCTCCCCCGTGGGCGTCGCTCTTCCTCTCGAGAGGGCGATCAGTCACGTTAGTAACATGCCCCCCTTTCTTCCACTGCATGATGACGTGTTTGTTCACGCCAGCATGTTTACAGAATGAACTTAAAGGTGGTTAGCTTTTCTACTGTTAAGTTTATATTTGTAACTTCTTTTCCTCTCCACTTGTAACAGGCTCGGGTTATGTATTATTTTGCTTCTGAACCTGGAAATAACGAACTGACGGTTAATGAAGGAGAAATCATCACAATTACAAATCTGGTAAGAGAACTATTACATTTAAGTCTGACTGTCCCTTAAGGACTTATTTTTAAGATTTTATTTTTTTAATAAATTGATCATTCAAGTACACATAAATTTTTTTTCCTATTGATTACAAAGTATTTATGATGGAGTAAGAATATGTTAGAAGCATTGAGAAAAGTTTAGTCCCCTAAAGATAGCTAGGCGGGGTTCCATCAGATAGAAATGGAAAGACATCACAGCCAAATCAAAGGTTTAGTGATTAGAAAGTATTCAAGGTTTCTTAGAAGTCTCACTACCATTTATTGACGACCTATGTGCCAGGTATTTAGCTAAGTGCTGTGCATATTTTCTTTAAATTGTTTTTCCCATGAACTCTGTGAGGTTGGTATTTTTAATCTTTTTTAAAAAAGGGTAATGAGACTTAAAGAAGTAACTTGCCCAGGATCATTCTACTCATTAAGTAGAAAATCAAGGATCCAAAACCACAGCTGTTTGGCTTCTTAAGCCTCTGCTTTTTCTTCTCTGCTGGGGAACGCCACACGTAAACAGGTGTCCCAGGAGTACAGGGAGTGTATATGCCAATAGGAGACAGACTAAGAAAACTGGCTTTTAGAGCCAAATCACACAGGACCTGTGCTGTAAACTTTGGATTTCACTTGTTAAGTAGTGGATTTGTTTAAGGGTTTTGCTTATTTTGTGGTTGATATTGCTATATGGAGGTGACATGATGAGACCTGCACTTCAAGGAAATTAATCTGGCAGAGATGTATCGAAGGAATGGTGCGGCTGGAGTCTAGGGACCTGACGTCGGGTGGTAGCAATAGGAGTTGAAAGGAAGTGGATGCAGGAGGCTTTGGAGACTCAGACCCACTGTCGGTGAGAAGAGTCAGGGATCCCTGAGGTTTTTGCCCTTTGTACCTGAGACGGTGGTGGATTTATTAACGTATATAAGTCAGGAAGAAGAGCTTCTTTGGAAAGATTAAATGAGTTTAGTTTTAGATACGTTAAGTTTAAAGAATAGTAAATAATCAATCCTGACTTGTAGCTTTGGACCAGTTTAAAAATAAAAATGCAGAGCTGGAAAGGAGGGCCAGAGATAGGCTGGCTCCCTGGACATCTTTGACAGTAAGCACGTGAGGCGAGGTGCCAGGAGGGCCAAGGGGACTCTGGGAAAAGGGAGGAGGCGATGCGGGCATGCTCCGCCCCGTGGGAGGGAGGACTGTGGCCGCACAAAGAGCAAAGTAGGAGAAACAGCAGTGACCGAGAGGATGGTGGTTTCTTCACATTGGTGGTGGTTTATGTGTCTTAGATACCAAAAGGAATTACTGGTAGAAGAAGTATATGTCGTTTTATAAAATATGCTAGGTGCATGTAAGTAAATAGGTTCTATTTTTAATCACAGGAGACATTAATATTCTTTTATATACCCATCTAATTTTTTTAATCAAAAAGTCTTTTTCATATCTTGGTAAAATAGTATTGTCTTTAAGTTGCTGTCAAAAATGGACAAACTTAAAGTGATTTTAAAAAATGATGTTTTATCTAGATGCAGGTAATTAACTAATTAGGGTACAATTTATGAACTTACTATTTTAAGGGGGAAAAGTGGGACTTTGCTGAGACAATAGATTGAAAAATGGGAATCCTAGTATAGAGTGCTTTATTTAGTTTATTAATATTACTTATCCAGAAGAGCTAAGGAATCATGGGCCAGTTAGGTGTTTTTAAACAGTAGGCAGTCCCAAAGTTTTGAGGCTTAAACGACTGTTTGTTGTTGCTCGGGGATCTGCAGCTCAGCTGTATGGTTCCACTGACCTGGGCTTGCTTATGCGCCTCATCTGGTGTCAACCTGGGGCTCGGGGGGGTTCATGTGGCCTCACTTACTCATATGTCTGACAGTGCTCCTGCTGGGGGTTGGCTGGCTTTGGATGGGGTGACAGGGAGATTGGGCCTTGTCTCTCTCATCATGTAGCAACCCAAATGTATTCACATAGCAGCTCTTTTGTGGGAAAAAGGTGTTGTTTGGGGGAAATAAACGATCTGAAGTGCAAAGCCTATTGAGGCCAGGCTCTGAACTGACTGCATATTATTTTCACCTTTCTTTTGGCCAAAGTGGTCACAAAGGACAACTCAGATTCTAGAGGAGGGGGTGTGCTTTCTACTTCTTGACAGTCGGAGCTGGAAATCACTTTTCGTAATCCACAACAGGCCAGTAGATAGAAATGAAGTACAAAATGATGGCATTCTATTAATAGGCTGTTTTAAAATTTTCGATCACTTAATATTGAAGTTTGATTTTTCTTGTCTTTAGATTTTATCATTTTCTGGAGTAAAGAGAAGGCTTCAGAATTTAAAAGTTTGAGCTGTGTTAACTCGAGGAGTAAAATGCTTAATGTTAATTACTTTTCATGCCTAACAGTTTCCAATCAAAATTTCCGCAGGAAACTCTAAGTCTTTTTCTTCTTTGTTTTCTTTTATCTTTCCTTCCTTTCTGTTTTTTTTTTTTTTTTTTTTAACTCTCTTAGGATGTTGGCGGAGGATGGCTGGAAGGAAAGAACAGCAGAGGAGAACGAGGTCTTGTTCCCACAGACTATGTTGAAGTAAGAACTTACCGTCACGTATTGATTAAACGTAGTCTTTGTCAAACATCTTTTTATGAGTTACCCACTTAAAGGACAAACTGGAAGATAGCAACTTTATTTTTAATAAAAACAATTTCCATTGTAAAAGTAGTACATGGTAATTAAATAAAATGTGGAGAGTACGTTGAATTAGAACTAAGAAAAAATATCACTATAGTCCAAGTCCAAAGAGTGACTCCAAATATTTAGGTTAAGTTCTTTCTGAGGATAGCAACTGTTTTTCATTTGTTCATATTATATAAAAGCTGTTACCTACAGTATCGTTTATTGAAGAATTGATTCATAAAGCTTAAATAGGTTTTTTTAAGTAGCTAGCTTCTCCCTGTGTTAATTTAGGACATACATCTCGATTCCTTCTTCCACTCCCAGACAGAAGGGTCATGAATGAACTGCTATGGACCATAGCCCAGTTTAAATTCTATTATGATAGATGCCAAGGGTGGTGTTAGAACACCCTGAATGAATGAGGTTCCCAGCCTGAGACACACCCACTCAGCTGACAGACCTCTTCTGAGTTAACCTCCTGGCGCCCCCTGCTGGTTGTCTGTAGGTCTCTCAAAACAAAGTACCCAGTCGTTGATAAGCTTGTCTCTGTGATCCTAGAAACTAAGGTTGCCTGGTGCCCTGTGAGTAAAATTGGAATGAGGTCAAGAATAACAGTACCCGTGGTTTCCCTCCAGTAGAGAGGAATAATGCCGTGGGAAGATGTTTACCGGGGCGCTGCCTGCAGAATGGGAAGGCTGCCTGTTCCTGATTGAATTGGCGTGGGAAGTTTTGAATCCTTTGGAGAATCTGATGAAATCTGTAGCCCTTCCTCTCAGAAATATGTGCATGCGCATGAACCCCAACCTTTTTCATATAGTTTCAGAGGGTTCATAGGCCCCTTAACTCGGTCCACATGTCTTATGTTTGTGTTGTATTTTAGTCGTGCATTCTGTATTCTAAAAGTTGGCAAGAATGAGAAAAATCTGAGGATTGAAGTGGATACGGGCATCAACTGCATCTTCCAGAATTCTGCATGTTTACAGAAAGGAATAATTAGCACAAATGTTTTTGGGCCTGCTTGCCCTTTAGAATATAACCGCCTTTTCCATAATAGCTCACAATTCTTACTCACCCTCAGGGACTCTAACTCTAAAATAACTCTAATCTATGGAAATAATTGTGATTCTTCCTAATATTCAGATTTTGCCCAATGATGCAAAAGATTCATTTTCTTGTGGAAATTCCGTGGCTGACCAAGCCTTCCTCGATTCCCTCTCAGCAAGTACAGCTCAAGCCAATGCGTCAGCTGCCAACAGTAACAACCAGGTAAGTCTTACATCATCCTACAGGATGAGGCTGGCTTTACTGAAAACAAAGTGCATTTGTGAAAGCTTGTGATGTGTTATAGCTGTTAAATGTTTGTGTGGCATTTCTGTGGGTATTAACAAAGAGCTCGCCTGTTGAACCTGCTGAAGACTGTTTATAAAGTTGATCATAAGAGAAAAGGCGGGGTATTCATTGAGAATGGCTTTTAAAAGTCTGGCATGATATGAACACAGATCCCATAGTTGTGGATATCCTGTCAAGTGAGAATGTAAAACGAGAAGAAGTGTCCTGGGCTGAGGCAGCCAGTCTCTGGCTGGGACAGGGAACGATTCGTCTGACCTTGGCACCTTACAGATACTCTCAGGCAGAGCAGGTGCAGCACATGCCAAAGTGACTGCAAATCCAGCACTCAGCCCTTGGTGCTATTATTACAGTTTTATTCGGAACTTAGAATAGTGGGACAAACTGAGGAAAGTCCATTGAAATTTTACATTAATTTAAATGAAAATTCGATCAGTTTAGATGATGCTGCCTAGTTCAGTTATTGCTAGATGATTACCTAGAGTGACGACAAGAAAATTGAGGGGATGGATAGCAAAATGTTATTGCCGCCTACATCCTTAGAAATGAATGAGTTTTAGGAATGTTATTTCTTGATATTTTTTCAACTACATAAAAGGTTTAAATCATGTGAAGCCAAATAATCATATCACTTATAATGATTTGCTTACAGAATCTTAACCTCCCAGGAAAGTTTATCAAAGTATTATTAACATATATTAACTACAGATGTTATAGACTTTATATAGCTTTTTGTGGACAACCTGAATTATGAATCAATCTGGCCCAAATATTTAAAATTCAGAGTCACAGCGATCACCATAGTTGAGCATTTTCCTGTATTTTGTTACTCTGTAATATCTGAGAACATTAGTAGTTAAAGATTACTGAAAATAAAATGTGAAGAAACAGCAGTTAAACCTTACCTGAAGTTTAACCAGGGACTCTCACCCTGACCACTGTTAACATTTGGGGCCCAGTACTTCCTTATTGTGATGTTCAGCAGCATCTCTGGCCTCTACGCACTAAATGCCAGTAGCACCCCCATCATTTGTAACAACCAAAATGTCTCCAGAATTTGTCAGATGTCCCCCGGGGCTCAAGTCAACCCAACTGAGATTCATCAAGCTAAACAAAAACATCAGTAAAATGAGTTTACGTTAAGTTAAAGACAACATTTTAATAAAAGGGAATTATAATGAGATGATCATAGAATAAGTGAAGGAAAGAAGATGGAAATATTCATCTTATTTTAATTCAAGAACCTACTTCAGCCATTATCTCAAGATATGCTGAAGCGCTTTAGCTGATGAACACATTCTAAATCAGGCATAGACTACGGCCATGCCACCCTGAACAAGCCCGATCCCGTCTGATCTCGGAAGCTAAGCAGGTTCAGGCCTGGTTAGTACTTGAATGGGAGACTACCTAGGAAGACCAGGTGCTGTAGGCGTAAAAAAATAAAAAATAAGGGATTGTAAGCTGACAAAGTCCTTGCAATCTGTGAGGTCAACCAAGGGTTGCCTCGCCTAAAAAAAAAAAAAAATCAGGCACAAATCTTGTTCTGTTCTAAGAGTCCTTAGTAATCAAGTGTAGTAATATAAACTGATTAGCATAAATCTGAACTTTTTTCTTCCAGGTTATTTAGAAGAAAATAATAACCAACTTTTAAAAAGTTGGAGTTTTACCAACCCAATCTAATATTAAATCTAATTAGATCTTTCGAAAGAAAAGAAAAAGTAAGCTGAAACTAGAACTAACAAAATATAGAAAGCATGACCATAATTAATTGAGCATTTGGATTTCATTTAAATCAAGCAAAAATATTTTTAACAGCCATCTGTATTCTCAGTGATCTAGGCTATGAGAGCAATTTAAATAGGCCAAAATTGTGCTCCGTTTTACAAATACATGAAGATGTCATGAATAAGAAACCAGACAGCCATATTTATTTGGCAGCTTTTAAACATTTCTGAATGTCAGTAAAAAACTGCGTTTGTTTCAGTGATGTGCATCTTGGGATTTTCTGATTACTCTGGCCTGTGTTCTCTTGCAGAGGACAGTTTTATTCGGAGGACAAGTTTGTCAGAGAGCCAGGCCTCTCTCTCTTCTCCCTGATCGGGCCATGCAGGGTGCACCCCGTCTTTTCAGCCCGGTGCGCTGCAGACTTCTGTTTACCCTTCTCAGTACAGTTAATCTCAGTCAGGCTTTCTTCCTCCACAAGCAGGTTAAAGCTCCATAGCTCAGTTGCTGGTTATCTAAAGGTCTGACTGTAGTATCTTTCTTTTAAATCATATCTTAAAAAAAAAAAAGATCCTCTAAAGTTCATGTCCATCTGCAGATCTCCTTGAATAACTTATTTTTGAACCTGGTAATTTTTTATTTATTCAAGCCTTACTTTGTATTTTTAATCTATATTGCATTCCAGAGAAACTAAATTCATAAATTTATAACCAAATATGTAAAATAGCACTTTCTTTAGCTTTTTGTTTTTTCTTAAAACTCCTAATTTGGGGTTGCTTAGGGTACCTTGTGGCTCTAGCTTCTTACAGAACAGTCACAGGGTAGGTGCAGTAACTGGTGGGGACGTAGCTAGCACTGATACATTCATTACAATGACCCGTTATGATCTTTTCTCCCTTGGCTAGTATATGAGGGAACCATTTATCTGTAAAACAATCCAATCGCCTGGCTAGGTACAAATTGTAAACGTCAGAGGATTATAATGCATTATTCTTTAAATGTGTTGGAGCACTTTAATTTTAAAAATGATAAAACTTTTATTTTTTAGATATTCGGAGAGAATAAAGAACTTTTTCTTTTTTTTTATAAGCTTGGAATATGAAAGGCCTTTCTGAGCAGGACACAATATCTAGCAGCCATTAAGGAAAGAATTGCTACATTAGATCAAAAAATAATATTAAACTAGGAAAAACATTTCCAACATGCCACAGATACTAGCTAATTCTCTTAATCTATAGAGAACTCTTCTAAATCTATAGTAAAAAGATGAACAACTTAGGAGAAGAAATGGGCAAAGTATGTGAACAGAGTTTTCATTGGAAAGAAGTACAAATAGCAGATTTCAACCTGAGTCTCTGTCTAAAGAAGGTTTGTGTTCTCAGCATTGGCTGTAGGACCAGGAGCCATCTCCAGCCCCTCACTCCATCATCGGCTGGGTTACCAATCAAAACCAGTGCAGTTGTCACAGAAAGTACTTTGGGATTATTAATGATTTTTTAACAATTTAGGTGTTAAATGCTCTAAGTTAAGTGAGTATTTAGGAATGTAACATCTTTTTATTATGCAGAGATTTTCAATGTAACATATGTTATGAAGGAATTTTTATTGGTTAACGGATGAGGAAGGCTGTAGTACTTTTATGTTAGAACTGCATTTTGCTTTTTCATTTCTCAAGAAAATCTATTTTGGGCCTTTTAAAGGCCATTTTGTAGTCTATTTTTAAATAAATCTGCAGAAGAAACCTTCACCAAGGTATTAAGTTTGCTTATTATTTCATTATCTCAAGGTCCATAATGCCTAGACCTCTCATAATTGCTTATCAAGATTTCCTCTTCACAAAACCCCCATCGAAAAGGTTCTCTTTGTCTCTCCACACCCCACTCCCAAGTGCATCTCCTCAGTACTTGATGACAGGGCTTTGTAAGGAAGGTTATATACATCCACTTATAGGATTTCTTGACATTTATCTTCAGAACTGCTTTAGGTAGGCAATACTAACTTTCCATGTTTCTTTGATCTCAGATCCTTGCTTTATATATGACAGATAGCTTTGTGCATGCAGGGAACCTTTCAGAAATACATGCTGGTGAAATTTATTTCTTGTAGTGGTTTCGGTGGTGGTATTTGTTTTTGTCTAACAGAAAACAAATGGCAAAAGCAAAGGTTTTGTTTTTTTCTACCTTAAAACTGCTATGATAAAGGGCTAATTAGCATTGTTATATGTACAACTCATCATCAGAAGAGTTCCCATAAAAGCCCATTTAGCATAAACTTTTATTAGCTCTATCTGGAAGTCAATGTTCTTTTGCTATTTGTGGCATCATAAAACTACCTATTTTAAAACCTTGTGCTAACAAAAGAAGTAAACTCTCTAGGCTAGTACAAGTATTATTCATTTTCTAAGGCAAATTTTATTCTTTTGATTTTCTCTATTTAAAAAATAAACACCTGGAATTGGCATCTGGTGGTTCAGAATGAGAATTAATTAAGGATTTGTTAAGCCGTTTAAATTTCAAGGGATAATTTCTAGTTAGTATTGATGTGACTGGCTACAAATGGGTTTAATATGTCCTAATGATCTAGCCTCATTTTAAAAAGAATGTACAAGTTTTATATTTATTAATGGTTTTCTGAAGTCAGTAGGGCTTCATCTGTAGGATTAGATGTTGTCTTTTGAGCAAATATAAAGGACAAAATAGGAAATTTTACAACTCTTCTGTATTTTGACCTGAAATAGTTCTTTACCTAAAAGAAATTTATACCCACTGTAGACCTTTTTGAGAAAAAGAGTTGTTAAGTCTGTGTCAGAAACTGAAGTGTTCTTGAGTGCAGGAATCACATTATTTGCTTTGTATTTCTACTTCCTAACACAGTTGGCACATGGTAATTAAATGTTTGATAAATGAGGAATGTCAGATAAAGACTGGTCATGTGACTTGGCAAAGAAAAAAACAGAAAGAAAGCTATAATAACCTCAGCCTTCACAAAACAGGTAGCTCTTCATTCATTTTTATTTTATTGTATACCCCTGGCAAAGTCTTGCCCTGGATGTTTCTAGTTGCACAATTTTTCCTTCTTTCCTTCCAAGCAGGAAACCATTTATTAGGGTATAGTCGTATGATAGGCCATGGCATGGTGAGCTAAATGACAACACAACCCATAGGACATAGAAGTGTGTGATGGAGACACAGTGAGAG